CCGCACACAGAGCAAGGCCCTGGCTCGGGTCACCTGCAGGACTGAGGCGGGATCTGCAGCTGTGTGGCCAGAGCTCAGCTAAAGGGCCAGCACTTCCCCGGCTCCTAAACCTCTGGGGGGCAGGAGGGGGAATGAGACACCCTGTTCCACACAGCACAGGTCCCATTGTACCTACCTGGTGCCTTCGATTGTAAATTCTTCCAGCTAGACACCAGCTCTTTGTGCTGGGTGCAGCACCTGACTCATGACTGGGGCCTTTGGGTGCTACCGTCATACGAGGAACAATGTGAATGAGATGTGCTGGGTGGGACGCGCGTCCTGCGGCTGCTTGGGCATCTGGCTAATGAGAGGCCTGCTGCCTAAAACCCGGCCTTACCTTGGGCTCCTGCCTATAATCGAGGGCACCATTTGCGGCAGGGGCAGAATTCTTTGAAGGCAGCCAGACCTGGGAGGAAGAACCCACCTCCCCTTCATTGGTACCCCCAATCCCGACACCCCGAGACGACTGGCAGACACAATCCGGGCGCGCACACTGACACTGCGGGGTTTGTCCAAAGAGCCCCCTGGGGTTTGAGCCCTGGGGAAAAGCAGCCCCTTGTTTCGGTGTCTACGGAGCAGCTGGATTCTGCTGAACGTTGGAGTGGGAGCAGCAGGGGGAGGCGTGGAGGAATTAACCCTCTGAAAACCAGCCCCATGTGTCCGGGCGAGGGGGGGGGGCGAATTGATGCCACCCTGCACTGGCCACATCTGCATCTCAGGCCAACTGCCCGCTGCTCCTCCCAGGGTGGCTTGGGGAGGGGGCCAGCGAGGGGGGGAGAGGGGGAAGGGAGCCGTCCATTAGAGAAAGTCCACAGCACAATTAAGACGTGTTTTGGTTTTCATCGCGCTGCTCTCCTTTCATCCGCTCTTCCCTTCTCATGGCTCCACTTTCTGCTCTCTCGGAGCGGCCGTGCATGCTGATGAGCCAAGCCACTCGCAAAGAAAGCCCAGTCGCTCCTTTTCAGGTCAGTGGCCTGGACAGGACTTCCGGGTTGAGTTTCTGGTGACTTTCTCCCACTTTGAGGGATTTTTAATGCCATCTCCTTAGTCCCTAGGCTACTTCTTGGGTGGGGCTTTTTAAGTCACTTCCCCTCCCAGCTGGTCTGCCCCGGAACTGGGACTTCCTTGGTCTTTATCCACTTTAAGGCACCTACAATGGGCATCGGGGGGCCTTGGCCTAGCTGAGAATCAGGCCTTTTGTACCTTTCAGTCGTTTTATACAGCTGCCCATCACCGTAGCCTCTGGCTGCCTAAACTAACAGCAATAGCGAAGACCCCAGTGGACTTGCCCCTTGTCCGTTGCCTAGTTTGGTGGCTACATTTTAGCTCTACCGAATATTTATCATTTATTATTATTTATAGTGCAATGACATCTACAGGCCCTGCCCAAAACCGAAGCCCCATTGTGCCGGGCACAGTCCAGATTCATACTGAGAGACCGTCCCTGCCCCAAAGAGCTTCCAGTCTAAACAGACTAGGGAAACTGAGGCACGGGGGGTGACTCACCCCAGGTCACACGGTGAGTCAGCGATGGAGCTAGAATCCAGGCCCTTGTAACTCCCATCTGTAGTAGGAAGGATGGATATAATGAGGTGAGATTGGAGACGCAGGACTCCTGGGTTCCACTCCTGGCTCCACCACTGACAAGCTACATGACCTTTGGCAAGGCATTTCCTCCCCTCCCCCCGTGCCTCAGTTTCTCCGTCTGTAAAATGAGGATGGGAACACCAGGCGTCTTGCAAGGCTAAATTCGCTCATGTCGGTAACGGGGTTGGATGGGCTGGTATAGCAGTTGGCGAGGAAAAGACACAAGTCGCATGACTTTGCCCATCCTGTGGCCAGCTGGCACCAGTGTATTTGGGCTGGAGTCTCACGCTGTCCCATGGGCCTGACCTTGGCTCGTGACCTCGTCCGAGCTCTCCTGGAGGTGGGGATGGAGAGACAGCCAAGGTGGGCGCGCGCGCACACCCCCCTCCTGGTTGAAATGACAACACAAGCGGTGAGGCAAAGGGGCCCCGACTTTCCTCCCGGCTCTTAGATGGGCGAGGTGACTCTGTAAACAAGCCTCCGCTGGCTCTATTCTCCGCGGGCGCTCACGTGGTGGGGGGCATCGGCTCCCTGCACAAGAGCCACGCAGGAGAGGCAGCCTGCTTGAGCGAATGCTTCGGATGCTGCTGCGTCTGGTGCCCTCGCAAGCTGCCACCTCCCTCCCCTCTGCGGTGGATGCCAGTTCATGCTCTCGGGAGATGGGTCGAGAGACACACTTTGGATCTTAATATGCTAAGACGAGGAAAATCAGTTTCAATCTCTGCAACGCGGGAGCAGCAGAGCAGAAGGGGAGTGAGCATTTCCCAGTCACTCGGCAACCGCGGAGTCTTGAAGGCAAACTAACTAAATAAATCCATGGCAAAGGGCAAGCGGAAGGCGGACAGAGGCGTGGATCGAGGCCGAGGGCCAGGTGGCACGGGCAAGCCCCAAACGGGGCCACGGCGAGAAATGGGCAGTGGGGTGAAGGGGAGATCTGGGGGTTGCCTTGCCCCAATGAAGTGGGTGGAAGTGTTGGGTCTGCGCAGGCTGGTGCAGAGATAAGGGTAGTGAAGCTCTGGAAACCCTGTTGTTGGGTTTTTTTTAAGAACAAGTTGGACAAATGCCCACCAGGGATGGTCTGAGCTCTCATGGTCTCTTCCAGCCCCATCAAACTCCTGCCAAGGTCACTCGAGTCCGGGGGTTATCTTCAAAGTGCCAATAGGCGCTCAGCTCTTTCAATGGTCACAGAGCAGGCCTCGCTTGTGCGGGCGTGTGTGCATGGGGAAATGGGTGAGTGTGCGTGTGTGGCCACGTGTGAGCACGCATGTTTGTCCATGTGTGTATGCATGTACGTGGGCACATGTGTCTATTCACACTAGACCTTGTGTCTCTGGCCCTGGTTTTGTGATTCACACATACCTGGGATCCAGGCAGGATATGGGCCCAGCTCCTGTTTCATAAACCCCTTCTCTCACGCCAGTGCCCGAAGGCGCAGCACCTCTCGGGACGCATTTCACCCGAAAAGCTGCCTTTTCTGGAATGCAGAAGTTGGATGACAATCAAACTTTGGCCTATGTGAGGCCTACGCCCAGATCTGGGCCTGGCCATGCCACCGTTAGTACTATTTGCTCAGCGTGAGGGTATGAAATGCCCGTCTGATCACCTGGGTGCCTCATTCGGACAGATGCAGGAGACACTGTGTCCTGTGGTCAGTTCCTGGGCCCTCGCGTGGAAGACAGAATCCCAGAAGGGGAGATTTGAACCATATCCCAACAGACATTTGTTGAAGCAGCGGGGGAGGCGAAGCCACACGATCAGCTTTGTTCAGCCGCAACTGCTTTTCCACACAGGCTTTGTTCGGGGAAAGGCCTGCACAGGGCCCCTGCGACAGGCCTGGCTAACCTTACCTTGGCTCTAAGGTGGCTTCCCAATCTGCCAGCCCTGCCTCCCTCGGTAGAGTTCAGCCTCTGTCGATAACCCAGAGCTGCTGATGAGTAGGTCAATTTGGTTTAAGGAGAGGGAGAAAAGGGAGCGGACACCTGGGGACATTTGATGAGTGGCTGTTTCTCAGCTGAGAAGGAGGCGGGTGTGTTGAGACATGCAGTAATGACGCCCCATTATGCTGTATGGGCGCTCGCCATTACCCCGTTATTACCCCCGGCAAGTTTGCAAACACAACGGTCATGTCAGCAGCGAGCAGCCTCGCTGGCAAGCCCGGCTCTGTGATTATGCCTCAGAAAGTCGGGGGCTTGTTCCTAGCTGGGTCAAAGCTGGGAGCGGCCTGATTTTATCCCTGCGTTTACAGGTAGAGACAAAAAATAGAACCACGCTCCTGGATTGTTAATTCAGCCGTGTGTGTGTGTGTGTGTGTGTGTGTGTGTGTGTGTGTGAGTCAGAGAAAGACAGAGGAAGGGGTGTGTGTGAGGATGTGTGTGTGTGTAACAGGGGAAGGTGTGAGTGTGTGTGTGTGAGAGAGAGGGGTGTGTGTGTGACAGAGAAAGACAGAGGAAAGGATGTGTGTGAGAGAGAGGGTGTGTGTGTAACAGGGGAAGGTGTGTGTGTGTGTGTGTGTGAGAGAGAGAGAGAGAGGGGTGTGTGTGACAGAGAAAGACAGAGGAAGGGGTGTGTGTGAGAGAGAGGGGGTGTGTGTGTGTGTGTGTGTGTGTGTGTGTGTGTGTAACGGGGAAGGTGTGGGTATGTGTGTGTGTGTGTGACAGAGAAAGAGAGAGAGAGAATAGGGGGCAGTCTTTGTGCACAATATTGGCAAATGCCCATACATTTACCTACCCTCTAACCTGCTTAGTGTGTCTGTCTGGTGGGGGGGAGCTGATCACTAACACAGCCCCTCCCCAGAGACAAGTCCACCTTCTGTGGGGATTGGATACAGCAGAAAGGAGTGTCCTCTGCTACAAACCTTCCCTGGCACCTGGCTCTGGGGCCCTCCTGGGGGGGGGGGGTTGACATAAATTTGGGAGCCTCCCCCCGTGTCCCCCTGCTACCGCCTGGGCTCCTTCCCCTGGTTCGCTGGTGGCAGGTCTGGGGAGGGAGCTGGGCTTGTTATTTTTTGCAGCCTGCAAACCGCCTGAGCTAGATCTGGGTCCCTCCGTGCAGCCCCCTCGCTCCCCAATCCCCCCCCCCGACGGGAGCCTGCCCCCCACATTCCAGGGGGGCGTTGCTCCGGCTCGCTCCCTACACCCCATTGTTCAGCCCGAGCGCTGCTCTCCTGCTCCCCTTTCTTGCCCGTGGTCCCATTTTGCAGCGTGTGGGCAGATCTGTAGATTTGGATTTTTTTTTTTTTGACTACAGAGTGACAGATGGCGATTCCTCCTTCCCCAGAGAGAAAAATCTCCCTGAATGCAGGCGCATGTCAATCATTGGCTCTCATGTGATAGCTCCAGCCGATGACGTGCCAACCATATGGCATTGGCATCAGAGCTGGTACCCCCTTTGCTTGGTAGAGATGCCACTCTCGCCTCCTTTTGGATAGAGCACTGAAGAAAGCTGTAGCACCTTAAGGAGCATTGCCCTGGTCCCAGAAGATGCTGGGGACAATGAAATAAGAATTCCTCCAGTTAGCTTTGAAGGTAAGTTATGTAAGAAGTGAAGGGGGGTGGGGGACTGGAAACTTGAATGGATAAAAAGCAACTTCCAGGGTTATTTTTTTTTCCTCCTTCAGAACTGGGGGCTTTATTTTATTTTAAGATCCGATCTATATTTTTTTTGAGGGGGGAGAGAGTCTTATTTAAATTCCCCCGATTTAAGAGGGCAGAGCTCTGTGAAAATGAAAATAGACCCAATAAACTCTCTTCCATCCGTTGTCCCACCAGGAAACGAGATCTCGCTCGATATATCTGTACACATCGGGTAGGAACAAAGATGAAACTAGAGATTTTTTTTATTTTTAACGGAGGAAAGGTGTCTTTAAAATCAGAAGGCTCCGGCTTTAATTTTTTGCTGGTTAAAAAAAAAATTGCACTGCACACACACACACACACACACACACACACACAACAAAGACAACGACTAAAGGAATTGACATGAGA